CAAAAAAAACCCCTACCTAACAATTCTAGTGTGATATCCAGATAAAAGAAAAAACGCAATTTAAACAAAATTTCTTTTGTCAATCTTTCGGAAAAAGTCGCGAACTCTTGGCTCTTGGGAGTTCACTCTTGGCTCTTGGGAGTTCACTCTTGGCTCTTGGGAGTTCACTCTTGGCTCTTGGGAGTTCACTCTTGGCTCTCGGCTCGCGAACTCTTGGCTCTTGGGAGTTCACTCTTGGCTCTCGGCTCGCGAACTCTTGGCTCTTGGGAGTTCACTCTTGGCTCTTGGGAGTTCACTCTTGGCTCTCGGCTCGCGAACTCTTGGCTCTTGGGAGTTCACTCTTGGCTCGCGAACTTTTGGCAGTCCACTCTCTGCAGTTCAATGACAGCTATAAAGAGCTCGACAGGTTAACACATGTTAAACCCAAAGGAAAACGAGTAATTCAGGCTGTTAAAACTTCTTTTGCTGATATCTATTCATCGCTAATATCAAATTTTCAGGTGATAGCTCGACCTCGACCATCACCTGAAAATTGTGAGGAATTTGGTGTGATATCGAAGCAAGTAAAACAGCGCTTAGGGCTAACTTAAGGGAAGGATTAGCCAACAACTCAACTCTTAAGGAATTGGTGTGGTATCGAAGCAAGGAAAGCAGCGCTTAGGGCTAACTTAAGAGAAGGATTAGCCAACAATTCAACTCTTGAGCGATTTAGTATGGTATCGAAGAAGAAGACGATTCCCAAAGCGAATCTTACAGCAAGAATACGATCACTCGAATCATATGAAATTTATGCGAGCTGCTCAAACGTTAGAAAAGTTAGAAAGGAAAAATGACTAGAAAAGTAAAAGAGAGGAGAAAAACGCTTTGGAAAAACTGAAAATTCGTCAAAATTCCTCTTTTTATCTAGATATCACACTAGAATCGTTAAGATTCGGCTTTTTTATTTTCACCAAAACATTTCTACTCGATTTGCCTCCACTCACTCGAGAATTAGTGCTTTTAGTGGACTCTCGCTTTCGATGGGAAAAGACAATTTGAAAGAACCATTTCTGAGATCATTGAAAAAGGTAAAATGATTGAAATGCTCGACATTATCATACTCAGGCGAGAAAACACGTCTAAAAAAGAGGAAAAATAGGCAACCTCCTCTACACAATCTTACCGTCTTTCCACGATTTCCCAAAGACACAAAGCAGTCGAGTAGAGATCACTCGGATAGTCGATCTAGAAATGCGGTGATTATGGAGAATCTTCGGAATCGGGAATCGAGACGAGTTCGGAACGTCTCGAAAGCTCCAATTTCCCGTCCCGTCCCGAAGACCGAGTCTACTACTTGTCTACTACTACTACTACTACTACTACTTGCTATTTCTTGTTCATAGCTTTTTTTGCAGGCTACTAGAGTAAGATCTAAAACCTTTTACTTTAAAGACATTCGAATCAGTGTACAGGATTGGGAAAAATAACCTGAAAACTTGTTAGAACGTTATTTGTTAGAACCTTAACCGTTCCATAAAACTCCTATAATTCTTTTTCTATTTCTTTTTCTTTCTTTTTCTTTCTTCTTCTAACTCTTAACTATCCTCGAAAAAGTAATCACACTTTTCTAGGTTTAATTTTGTTTTTTCTCGACTTTTTCAACTTTCGACTTCGAAAAAGCGCTAAAAAGGGGGAAAATAAAGCTCCCGATGATCTCAACGAGGATCAATTTTACCTAATACTTTGTGATTCGAAAGAAAAGCCGGTCAACGGATTTTTCTTTTCAGTAATTTTTCAATAGGTTAAGAAATGAATAAATTATACTATGGAGAACATTTGGTTTGCTGTTGGCTGGCTGCAAGCTTACAAAGAAACTCGTTCTGAAGAACTCTTGTCCAGGTGATTTTCCCCAATCCTCTACGCAGTAAATGGAAAATTTTTGGAAAAGAAAACCCGTGAAAAGCCATGCTACCACTCACTTATAATGAACTTTATTCTTAGGAAGGAACTTAGGAAGTACAATCTGTCTCTATTCTTAGAAAAATTCACCTGAATGCGATCAAAAACCCCATAGGCTTCTGGACTCATGTAGCGATATGTTCCGGCTAAATTAGTCGAAATGGCGACAGAACTCAGATCTCTGACAAGCCCAAAATCACCCAGTTTCAGCACAAAGTCTATCGTAACGAGAACGCTAGAATTTTCATTGTTTTTCTCAAACTTTATTTTTCGTTAAAACTTTTCCGGTTTGATATCTCGATGGAGGATTTTGTGGCTCTTTAGGTACAACAATGCTGTTGTTAAATGCTCGGCCCAGACGAGAATCGTCTTCCAGTTGTAGAGGATTTCCGGATCGTTTAGCACTAGGTTTTTTTCTATAAGGATAAAATTAGGGAAACAAACCGTGTCTCAGCGAGTTTCGCTCACAAAACTCCATTCGAATCACATAAAATGAGCCCTCTAACTGGTGAACCTCTTCAATTCCGAAAAAGGCGACAATGTTTGGATGACGAAGTTTCCCCAATGCTTTCGCTTCTCGTTCATAAAAGTTTCTCTTCATTTTTAAGTTCATTCGAATGTATTTGCATACAGTGTATCTGAAAATGTTCTTGTTTTTTGGTTGGTGGTATTGGTCGTTTTTGGGAAGCTTATAGAAATATCGTGTCTTACTAGGAAACTCTTTCAACTTTCCACCGATTTTTGAAAACAGACCTGGCTAAGAAACAAATTCAAATAAACACATATTTTTATCTTTTCCCCATGGGTCCTGGTTATCGAGAAAAACGTGTTCAAAGTTTGGGCAATTTTCCTATAAGAGGGACGTCACTTATAAGAGGGACGTCCAAAGGGAGGAAGAGCAGCGGCCTAGTGGATATGGTTATCGGATCAGGATCGATCCAATCCGATCCGATAGATCTGACTGGCCGGGCTAGCCCGATCCGATCCGATCCGTACGACCGATCAGGCTAACCCGATCCGATCCGATCCAATAAATCTGACTGACCGGGCTAGCCCGATCCGATCCGATCCGTACGACCGATCAGTCTAACCCGATCCGATAGATCCGACCAATAAGACGACTAGCCCGATTTGAACCGATACGATCTGTTTTTGTCAAAAAACTAGTCTAGTGGACAGTTTGCTAGACTCTAAAACCCAGACCAGTTTTCCTCGCGGGTTCGATTCCTTCCTTTTTTTGTCTTTTTTTTGCTTTGCTTGGCTGGGTCTGAACAGGAACTAGCTGGAAATTGAAACAGAGCAGTACAGTGCTCACTTTTAATAAAAATTAGGCGTTAATTGTTGGGTATAATAATCATATGTATTTTGACTATTGGTGAGTTGTTTTCTAACCAGTTTAAATATGACTATTCAAGGATCTTCACGTTATGTGTTTCAAAGGTTAGAATCATTGTTTATGTGGGTATTCCTCTCTGAAATTTGCCAAATAATCTCTATTAGAGAAAAGAAAATTCGAGCAACTAGTGAATATCAGCTTTTCCTAAAAAGACTCACGGTGGATGGTCGCCAACGAGTCGTACAACTCCAAAGGCGCCATTTCCCAGAAAGCGTTCCATTATTCACGTCAAGCAACGGCTTTTCAGACAATTTTTTCTTTCAATATAGAGAAAGAAATGAAAAAGCAAACAAGAAGTAAGAAAAACTTTCAAAGACGGCTATTTATGATCACACTCAATAAATATATAGCAATTAGCTTCTCAAAGTGCCTTGACTAAAGAGAGAAAGTGATGGTTTGTTATAAATCAATTTTTTTCCTCAGTTCTAAGGCTTTCTTATCAATGTTTCGCTGTTTTCTTTCTTTCTCTTTGACGGGAATAACTTTTCGCACATTCTCTCTCTTTTCCTCTAAATATAAGCATTGGTACTTACAATTTCTTTTGCAAGTCTTTCAAAAGCTTCACTATCACTTAAATCAACGAAAAAAATTAAAAAGAGAGAGAAAGCCTATAAAGACTCCGAAAATCGGCCAAAAATTTGATAAATTTGATTCCAAATATCTCGCGTTACAGAGCTCGTTTATCATTCATTGTTATCGTTTATCGCAATATTATCGTTATTCAAGAGGTCTAACCGCATAAACTTGGCCCCAATCCTGGCCCTATAGGCCCCCTCAAACATCAAGATTTCTTTCTGATTAACAATTTACATACCAAAATTAGACTGAAGATTGAATTAACCGGCCTCTCCAACTCAATTTATAATTATTATAGGCTCAATTTCAAAGTGAAACAAATGTGGTTAGTGTTGCGAGTATTGGGAATCGTCTGATTTTGGCATGAAAATTGCTGGTCAGAAATCTTTCTGATGTTTGGGGAGGCCTAAACGAGTAAATCTACCTAATCTTTCCCTTCTTTTACAGTGAACGCCAGCTCGAGGCGCTGATCTTTGATATTTGGACGGCTGGACAGGACACAACGTCAAACACGATCGCTTGGACAATCGCCTACATTCTTCATAATAAACTACCTAATCTTTCCAAGACTCAGATAAACTCGACGTCTTGCCAGTTGTGGGCCCTTAAGAAGCTACATAAACATATACAAAAGAGGCGAGCATTTAGAGTTTACTTAGTACTAAGAGCTCACCTAAAGTTTTGAGTGGTTCGGGTTTCATATAGTTAGTGATTTCATAAATAAAGAGGCATTTTTGATAGAAAATTCATCTTTTAAAGTTTACATTGGAAATCTGAACTCTTTGAAATTTTATAAACTTTTGAAGTTGTCCTATTTAAAGTCGGCTTCAATTTTGTCAGAAATTTTAGTCTAATTCTTGTATCGGCATTTTATTAATACAAGAATTAGTAGAGATAGAGGTAAACACTTCAAGAAAACCTCGATTTTTGTCACTTTTTCTGATACCTTTAACCGTGATTAAAGAATTTCAGTGTTTTCATTGTATTGTACTTTCCTTTTCCTTTCTGTAACTAACAGTAAGATAACGGTTATTTAAGAAAAATTTTATATGATTTTCCGGAAATCAGCTCAAATAAATGTTTTCCTTTATCGATGCCTTGATTCGACTTGGCAAGTGAATGTTTTCGGGATGACAACATTGTTCAACTCTTTCTCCAAAGATGGAAGTTTTTTGGCTGAGACCTAAAAACATATTCTGTTAATTTTTGGTAATTTATTTACTTTGAATCGTTGAAAAATGTTGGCAATGAAGAGGTAGAGTTCAACTTTTGCCATTCCTTCACCAGGACACGAGCGCTTTCCAATAGAAAAAGGGATAAGTTCAGGATACGTCTTCAAAGAGCCATCCAAGTTTAAGAAACGAGATGGATCAAATTTGTAGGGATCGGGGAAGACCTAGAAGTTTTTCATAGATAAAACTAGTTGAATTTGTAACAGGTTTGCTGATTTTAAATCCTGTGAGGTTAAATTTGCATTTAAAATCTCCTCCTTTCACTATAATTAAGCAGAAAATCGTGTTTTTGATTGGCAAGACCTGGTAGAATCAAAATTTTGATTTCCCCGTTTTTCCCGGGTTTCGTTTCATCAAAAAAACTTGAAGGGAAAGCTAAAATCTTAGTAACAGACGTCTACAGACAGTTTTTCAAGCTATAATGATTATATTAGGTTGATACATAAGTCTTTTCGTTTTTTTCGTACTTCTGCTAAAAAGTAACAAATTCACCAATTAATCTATAGTTTGCTCTATAAAAAAAGTGTTTTTTTGTTCAATTTGCATCTTTTTAAATGAATTTCGGTTCACTTTCAAGCAAATTCGAGAGTGAAAAACGCCTTTTTCGTAAAAATCTATAAAAAACTCTACGGAAAAATTGGCTGAATGAATTTCTCTGAAATTTTGGCGAAATATCAAACTTTTTTTTCTCTATCTTTTATCTATTGACACGAAGATAGGTTTTCTTTAGCTAAGGTGTCTAAACCGCATCATCGAGTTAGCCCTTTTTGACTACCCGACTTCATACTCTCAAGAAAATCCAGGCATAAAATATTTTTAAACCCGTTTTAATGTTATTTTGCAGAAAAATAATTGGTTTTTCTAATGAAATCAACCGTAGTTTAATTGGTGCATTTGTTGGCTTGAAACGGCAGACGAAAAGGAACAGAACACTTATGCATCAACCTATTATTATTGTGTTGTAATCTACAAATGATTCCAATATTCTATTGAATCAAGGAACAGACATCTACAGACTGCTTTTCAAGCTATAATGATTATATTATTGTGTTGTAATCTACAAATGATTCGAATATTGAAATCTCCAGTTCAAATCTCCCACCTTCTCATCGTACATAACACAGCAGATTTGTGGGACGACAAGGGTATCCGCTGGTAACTTGTATCCATTAATCACCACATTCTCCGTTGTTCTTCGGGGAACATTCAGAGGGAGAAGATTGGTCAATCTTTGCGATTCCTGAAAACTTTTGTTCTTATTCGAATTCTAATGTAATTTTTTTTTTGCACTAAATCAAATGAGTATACTATTCAAATGATTATATTTTGATAGTTTAAAAAGTTGACTGAGTGCGCTTTCCTAGTCAGTAAATGATTTGAAATCCCTGAAATTGACTATAGCTTTGTCTCTTTAAGACTTAGAAAATCATTGGATCTTTAATTTTATAGCTTTTTTACTTTCTTGACAATAAAAGAAGCTCACACTGATCACAGCATTCACATAGGGAAGCGAATTCTTGTCGGCGAGGGTGATCTTTCTGTCGGATTTGATGACTCGATCTAATTCCTCGTGGATTTTCTCTTCAACTTTGGGATGATGGAGAATGTAGGCGATTGTCCAAGCGATTGTGTTTGACGTTGTGTCCTGTCCAGCCGTCCAAATATCAAAGATCAGTGCCTCGAGCTGGCGTTCACTGTAAAAGAAGAGCAAGATTAGGTAGTTTACTCCTTTAGGCCTCCCCAAACAGCAGAAAGATTTCTGACCAGCAATTTGCACGCCAAAATTAGACGATTCCCAATATTTGCAACACTAAAAACATTTGTTTCATTTTGCATTGAGCTCATAATAATTATAAATTCAGCTGGAGAGGCCAGCTAATTTTGGTATGCAAATTGTTAATACGAAAGAATTCTTGACGTTTGAGGGGGCCTAGAGGGCCAGGATTGGGGCCAAGTTTATGTGGTTAGACTTCTTGAATAACGATAATATCGCGATAAACGATAACAATAAATGATAAACGAGCTGTGTAACGCGAGGTATTTGGCAACAAATTGCTCAAATTTTTGGTCGATTTTCGTAGTCTTTAGAAGCTTTTTCTTTCTTTTAAAAAAGAGAGCTAGTGGCGCAGTGGATAGAGTGCTCTCGAAGGTTTCGAGATTGCTTTTGCTCGAGTTCCCTTCCCGTAGATTCTTTTTGCTTTTTTTAGTAGGTGATTTTTGCTTAAAATGTTTCTTTTTCTCACCCAAGTGGTTTTTTCTCTTTCACAACATTTGGGTAATAAGGGTAATAGGGATAACAACGGCCTCAGTGCCATAAAATTGTGTCTTTAAACCTTTATGTCTCATTCTGTATCCTTTGTTTGTACCACATTATTAGTTTTCAATAAATGTATCTTTTTAAAAGGATGCCCAACTATTCAACTATTCGATATTGCGATTAGACTTCTTGACTAACGATAACATCGCGATAAACGATAACAATGAATGATAAACGAAAGATAACTACAAAAAGTTTCATTGATTTAACATCAACTAACAATTTATTGTTTATCATTATCACTTTTTGTATTTATCGTTAAATTATCGTTGAATTCTCATTACCTTATCGCTAATTATTGACCAATTAATGATTCAACACTTACAAATAAAATTCTCCTTGTGGCGTGCCCTTCTTTCTTTCCCATTCCTTTAGGTAACTCTCAACAAAGTCGTTAGATGTCTGAAAATGTTTGCTTTAGTATCAGGTTGGAGCCGGAAAATTGATCCGTCTGGTCCTTGACACCCTGTGGTTGTCAGGTTCATATTCTAATTTTCCTGACCTCACTATCGAAATCGACTTGTTTCCTCTTTGCGGCAATTTGCTTTCGAATAAAATTATAAAGAACATCATTTGGTGCCAGTATATTGGCGTAGGCTCCTAAATGAATTCAATTAGAGTACAATCAGCATAGAATTCTATCATTGGTGTGGCTCAATTTGGGTTATATCATTGAATTACTGACCTTTTAAAGACCTTATATAACTGTTTCCATTCTGATTTTTGATTTAGAAAGCTTCTTTAGATAAAGTCTTCTTTAGATAGAAAGCTTCTTTAGATACAAAGTCTTCTTTAGATAGAAAGTCTTCTTTAGATAGAAAGTCTTCTTTAGTTAGAAAGTCTTCTTTAGATACAAAGCTTCTTTAGATACAAAGCTTCTTTAGATACAAAGCTTCTTTAGATACAAAGCTTCTTTAGATACAAAGCTTCTTTAGATACAAAGTCTTCTTTAGATACAAAGCTTCTTTAGATAGAAAGTCTGCAAATCTCAGCAAATGAAATATGAAAGAAATATTTGAAGAAAGCAGATGAGATCTCTCATGAGCTGAGAAATTTCTTTTAAAAGCAAATTTAAAAGATGAATTATTTAAAATCAGATTTTAGAATCAACATTTTAAAAGAATGATAGACAAAAGATTTTAAAGTTAATTCGAAATATGAAAAGAGAATGGACAAAAGACAAATATTGACTCTAAGCTATGCTAGAGTCTTTAAAAAATCAGTCACTTAATGATAATTCCCGTAAATTTCTAAAATATTCGAATTTGACGCAAAATCCATTCTAATAGATACAATGACCTTTGAATGGAGGAATTTGACGAATCAATGATGAGATACAAGCGACAGTGAATAATGGACTCGAGCCGGCTTTAACAAAATCTCGAAGAGAATTTTTTACCAATCTATACTCGTGTTCGTGATCCTAGAATCAAGAGGTTTTTTTTTGACTCTTTTTAGCACTTACTTCATCAAATCGATACCCGAAAAGAATTCCGTTGATCACTGAGCCAACAGCCAGGTCTAGTTCTGCCTAAAAAATTGAGATTTGGAGTGTTTTCCTGATAACAAGAGTCCATTTTTTCACTAAAATCTATAAACTGTCATCTAAAGAAAACGGTTGGAGGAATTTTCCTGAAAATTTGGCAACTTATGCATTTGAGTGTGCTCTATCTTTTTTATATAGATACTAAAGAAGGTTTATGTGGAAGAAACTGTTCAAACGATGAGTCAGACCCATTTTGACTAGCTGTGGAGTCAATAAACTTCACGAAACAAAAGCTTTGCGGAATATCTCAAAAGTCATTTTGTAGAGAAATCGTAGAACATTTGATGAAGCAAAACATGGATTTAAAGAAGGTTTTCTGCGCGCAAAAAGTTTCTTTAAAGTTTAATGCCATTTCATTTTCCTTAACCCAATCGTTTGTTAACAGAAACAAAAACCAAATTTGAAAAGTCCTCTAGCCGGAAAACTTGAATAGTTCTCGTTGAAAGCCTTGCAACCCAAAAGTTCTCGTTTGAGTCATTTCAATCTTTCTTTCCAAATCTACCTGTATCCGAATATCATCTTGTTTTGCCATTTTCTCCAACAAGAAATCGACCTCGACCATCACCCGTTCTTCCATTATATTTCTTCCCATCCCAAAATCTCGTAAAGTGTGCAAAGTCAAACTAAAATTTAAGAAGAGATAAATGCTTATTTGAATTTGAATTTATTAAATTTATACCTTAAAAAAGTTATCCTATAATGCTACCCGATGTACTCTTAAAAGTAAGCAGAATATATTGGGTTGGTGAATTGAAAACTGAAAAATTTATAGCACGCCGGGCTTAACTATTCATGACTAAATTTGTGCTAGAAATACAAAATAAATAGCTGTTGGATTCAAACTTTTAATTTTAATTTCTATCTATTAGGTCGTATTACGCAATTTTATTGGGTTGGTGAATTGAAAACTGCGGGGTATTGTCATATGTGACAGTTTGAGCACTTTCTTCAAAAGAAGCAACTCTAATCTATTGGGTTGGTGAAATGCACAAAACTTGCATTTTAAGTGAGCATTTTAAGCGAAACTACTAAGTGTATCTTTTTGAAAATTTGGCTATAAGCCTAACTTTTGATTCTCTACAACTTTTCTATTGACACCAAAATGGGTTTCTTTTGAAGAAAGTGCTCAAACTGGGACATGTGACATCTCCAGTCCTCCATTTTGGAGTCTCACACTTGTCTCACACACAAACCAAAATCCTACTACGAAAGAGAAATCCGCAAATGGCCTGTAAAATGGGCAGAAGTCGTCAATAATAATGGAGATTATTTGGAATGAATTGATGGTTTTATGTTGAATAAATTTTAGTTCAAAGTCCCGCAGTTTTCAATTCACCAACTCAATAAAAAGTTGACAAAAAGCTGACAAAAAGCTGGGACTGGGAGTTGTACTGGGAGTTACTGGATAGCAAGACAACCCTTAGTGCAATCAAATACAGTGAACATTTGGGAAAGGTGAATGAATCCCTAAAGAAGAATTGGCCCTGCAAGTCAAAGATCGTTCTCATCCACGACAACGCGCGCCCTCATGTTGCAAAACTGATTAGCTCTAAAATAAAGAGCCTTGTTTGGGAACTTTTGGCGCATTCCCCATACAGTCCGGACCTCGCCCCTTTTGATTACTATTTATTCCGGATCATGAGTAATGAGCTTGCGGGAGAACACTTCGATTCGGAAGAAGCAGTGAAAAATTGGCTTTGAAAGTTTTTCGATTCAAAACCAAGATCCTACTACGAAAGAGGAAACCGCAAATTGCCTGTAAAATGGGCAGAAGTCGTCAATAATAATGGAAATTATTTGGAATGAATTGATGGTTTTATATTGAATAAATTTTAGTTCAAAGTCCGGCAGCTTTCAATTCACCAACCCAATAGCTAAATTAAACTTTTTTTCAATAGTTTTCAAACGAACCGTCTCTGCTCTCTCCAAAGATCACCTTCCGAGAAAACGAGTCCAAATAAACCACCTAGAAGAAAGGGATAATACTTGTTTCTCTCAAATTATTAAACCTTTTGTATCTTTGATGAAATCTTCGAAAATCCATCGTCCCGCATATTTATCCCCATCTTTGATCACCGTCTCTTTGAGCGTTTCATAATCGCTGACCACTACAACCGGCATGGTACCGAGCCAATAAGTGTAGACTGGTCCATATTTTTTACTCCATTTACGAAAAGCCTCATAACCGGGACTGTTCTTCATCACGTCAAGCAGATTTCCGAATAAGGGAAGAGGAGTTGGACCTAAATTTAAAAGAAAACCATTTCTTAACTCTAATTGGCAAAAATAAACTAAAAAAAGCTAAAGTTGAAATAATGAGAAAATGAGAACAACGATTTTATAGAAGTATTCAAACTTCTGGGACTTCGTTTTATTTATGTTTGTGTGCTCTTTTTGTTTCCTACAAACCTGGTGGTAAGTTCCGCCTCTTCCAATAGAGTTCATAGGTCAAATAGAGAATAACGAGAGCGACGAGGATCACGCCAATCATTCTAAACATTATTTGGACAAATTATAGATTTCAATAGGAAAAGTAAAGAAATAAAGCTTTTCAAGAAACCAGAAGAAAGCGATAAATCAGCTAAATGTCATTGCTTTGCGGCTCCATCCAGCTAAAACACCAAATTTACATTTAACCCCGTCCTTTCTTTGTCTAAAGCAACACTTGAACTGTTTAACCGTTATATATACAGAAAATAATGAACTGGGGTTTTTGGATTTTGGAGTCTTGGGGTTTTTAGCTCCTAAGAGGTGGTCCAAACCAAACTCTGATGATTGGGATAACCATCAGAATCGTGTTTCCCGGATCCAAGTACCTCTAGTATTTTTATTTTATTCTCATTTGGTTCTTATTTGGTTCTTATTCAGTTCTTATTTTGATCAAAAAAAAGCCGAAGCCGAAAACTTGATAACAGACAAAAAGGCAGACAAATTTTCCAAAAATATAGTATAGCAAAAAAAGAAAGTTATAAAATATTCGAAAAAAAACTGCGTATTATAGACAGAAAATAATGAACCTGGGGTTTTTGGGTCTTGTCTGATGATTGGGATAACCAGCTTGAGGTTTTTAACCACCAAGACGTGGTCCAAACCAAAGTCTGATGGTTTGGGATAACCATCAGAACCGTGTTTCCCGGATCCGAGTATCCCTAGTATTTTTATTTGATTCCCATTTGATTCCCATTTGGTTCTTATTTGGTTCCCATTTGATTCTTATTTAGTTCCTATTTTGATCAAAAAAAAAGCCGAAGCCGAAATCTTGATAACAGGCAGACAAATTTTCCAAAAATCTAATACAGCAAAAAAAGAAAATTATAAAATATTCGAAAACAAACTGCGCTTTTCAAGTAAAATTTTTTATCTACAGAACTGTTGTGCAGAATTGCACAACCAACCTGTTTTTCTCTTCAACTTTTCCGTTTTATCGCCGAGTCTTTTTTGCCAGCAAGCCGATGGTCTAGAGTAGAGATTTACTGAAGGGAGTAAGGGGGTAAAAAGGTCGCTCTATTTGTCCTTTTTCTTTTCTCTCTTGTTATCTTTTGTTGTCCGGACCATTTCTATTTTCTCATTTCTATCGTTTTGTGCTTTTTAAATATACAAGTGTAAGCAGAAAACATATATTTTCAAAATTCAAACAAATTCTTAAAAAATGATTCTAGTTTAGCTAAATTTCAAGAGATAGTTTCAAGAGAAGCTAAATTTCACTTACTTCTTTGATATCTTTGATCTTTGAATCTTTGATCTTTGATATCTTTGATATCTTTGATCTTTGATATCTTTGATCTTTGAATCTTTGATCTTTGATATCTTTGATCTTTGATATCTTTGATCTTTGATATCTTTGATCTTTGATATCTTTGATCTTTGATCTTTGATATCTTTGATCTTTGATATTCTATTTTCTGGAAGCTTCAAGAAATGTATATTAAAAAAACCCAGACATTTTGGTCCCTCCAGATCTCAAAAACTAGAGACAAAGGGTTTTTGTTCTGAAATCAGCTCACTTGTTGCTATAAAAAGTTTCTTTTATGTAGAGTTCTTGAAACATTTTTTATCAGACCCCCATTCCATTATTAAAATTGTTTTTTGTTACAGGTTTGAAATGTGTTATTTGACTCTCTAGCAAACCAAAAATAGGGACCAAAAATTATCCGGTAGGGGGTTTTAGTAGCGGAAAGTTTTGTCAGCTTCGAGCCAAACTGATCACTATTGTTACTATTGGTTACTAAAAAATATCTAAGATCTAATCTAAGAATATCATCTTAAAGCTCTCACAAAATACCACAAAAAGCTAATAGAAATCGATTTATTTGAATGCGATCTAACGGGCAAAAATGAGAAAACATTGACGGGCCAAGATTTTCAATAAAATTTTCTATTTTTCAGACGATGAACAAGATGTACTCTTTACTCTAAGCGATTATTAAAAATCTGCGATTATGCCTGCCATGACTGAAGGATAAAAAGGCCAAGGTCGTCGAGATGACCCGTCTCAAGCCAGCAATACTTTTTTTCCATCACTGTAAGTTCTAATGATTTTAAAGTCACTTTTTAGTTACACCGCCTCGAAGATTTAATTGAATACTGGCAAAATTGGTTGTCAATCTACTTTTTACTACCGTTCATCACAACATCATGGATTGTCTATTACTTACACTACTGGACAATGAAATATCATATTTAAAAAACGATCGTGACTTTCGAGCGTCTGTAACTCCCTTGTCTTTACCGTATTTCTAAATATTAATATACCATTGTGTAGACCTTGAAAAGAGCTTTCAGAAAATGTATAACACTAATAGTTTAAACTCAAAGACAAGGGAGTTACAGACGCGCGAAAGTGACGACCTTTTTCCAAAGATGATATTTCATTGTCCGGTACTGTAGTAGTCTTGATTAGACTTTTGACTAACGAGAGTTAACGAGAGAAATCGTTCGGGTAACTTCAAGCGCTTGATCTAGCCTCACTAATAGTTTAAACTCAAAGACAAGGGAGTTCAAATTCAAATTGAAAATTCAAAGCTACTGATAGTTTTGAAGCCTTGAAGAAAATCTGAGAAAAAGAACCTGATCCTTTGATTTAAAAGTAGCTTGAAAAATTCTATTTAGAGCAAAATCAAAAATCTAAGAATATCATCTTAAACCTCTCACAAAATACCACAAAAAGATAATAGAAATCGATTTATTTGAATGCGATCTAACGGGCAAAAAATAAGAAAACATTGACGGGTCAATACTTTTTTCCATCACTGTACATATAAATACAATAAGAATTGAAAGATATTATCAAAATCTGACATAGATATGACTTTTCATTGTGTTTGTAGACATTTTATCCAAGATTTGACCAAATTCCGATACCCCATCCACGTCCTGAAAAGAGCTTTTAGAAAAAGGGGTTTTTATTATGCTATGTTATCATATTACGAAAATATTATGCTATTATTTTATGTGAATATCAATATTATGTTAGTTTGCAACATACTTCCTATTGGAACGAAATACGATGAGCCAAAATCTAAAAAAAACATTAAGAAGACCATCTTCATAAAACTTACAACTCGGAATTCGATAAATGACTCGTTTATCTCTTTTGTGACTGGGATCACCTAAAAATCTAATAATTTGTTCAGTTGATCAATCAAAAGTCTGTGAGAATCTATTATATATAATTGAGGGGTGCCTGTCCGTCCGTCCGTCTTGGAATCTTGGAGGCTTGGAGGAGTAGGTGTGGCCGAGTTGACAGCCACAGCTCCGGCTTACAGCTCCGGTCTACAATGCCGGCCTACAGCTCCAGAGATCGAGGATTCGAATCCAGACCGCGGAATATTCTTTTGCTATTTTGTTATTCAATTTAAGAATTTGCCTTTGCTATGAATTATATAATTGTGAAATGTTCGTCTGTCAGAAAAAAGAAGTCAGGGAATGGGTTTTTCGGGCTAAAAATTGATACTCGGGGGTTTTCGACTATGCTGATACCGAATCTGAAGTCAGATTCGAGGCCTATTTGCAAGTTAGCAAACGGGTTTGGCCAAACGGAGTGTCGCGTAGTCGCTACTCAGGATTCGACCCCAGTTGACCGATTTCAATGTGTGCTATATTTTTGGAGAGGACAATTTCTCCGTGCGGCCGCGTAGCGGACTCTCAACTCAGCTAGTCAGTAATTATTTTAGGCTTTACAACCGAAGAGCCACTCACCGCAATGGGCTACAGCTATCAACATGGCAATACATAGTAAAAGTAGTACTGCTGACGTAAATCTCATGTTAGAGTTTAAATGGGGAAAAATGGCTTTTAATCTGTGTGATTAGTAGGAAAAGATTTTTGTTTACTCCACTTTTTTATTTTACCTTTATTTTTATATCATTTCATAACGCGTTCGCCGAAATCATCTCTTTCCTTTTCTGCAAAAGAGCAAAAATTATTTTCGCCTTTTGCTCTCTCATTCGACAAAATTAATCAATTTTTCACTAAAATACAGTTTTATTTTTTTTAAAAATCTATCAGATGGAGAAGGAGGAAAAATTTTTGCGATGAAGAAGATAAAAAACATAGATATGTAGGAATTATTGTGGCTCTATGTGCCCATATGCCTCTTGCTAAAGAAAAATTCTTCATACGAAAATCCTAGACTATCTGCAGAGACCATGTGCCAGAAAGTGAGAGTTGGGCCTCATACCCATGAGCCACAAGGTACGCACAGACATACCCATGCCTGGTCATACCCATGCCCGGTCATACCCATGCCTGGTCATACCCATGCCTGGTCATACCCATGCCTGGTCATACCCATGCCTGGTCATACCCATGCCTGGTCATACCCATGCCTGGTCATACCCATGCCTGGTCATACCCATGCCTGGTCATACCCATGCCTGGTCATACCCATGCCTGGTCATACCATGCCTGGTCATACCTATGCCTGGTCATACCCATGCCTGGTCATACCCATGCCTGGTCATACCCATGCCTGGTCATACCCATGCCTGGTCATACCCATGACCCCGGTAGATTGCCATCGGTAAGGAAAACCCGAGCTAAGAAACAGCTAAAAAGAAGGCTTTAGCTTTAGCTAAAAAGCTTTAGTTAAGAAACAGCTAAAAATGGAAGCGTGCCGGAGACGGATTGAGCTCATTGGAGGGTCTGAAAAATGAGCTGCAAAACTCTAATCAAAGATTTTTTTAGTACAGAAATGTAGGCAAGAACTCTTCAATTTTTTAAGCAACACTTAGAGTTTTTGAATTGATTGCGGCGTTTTACATCTGCTAAAAAGGTGGGGCCGTAATTTTGTAATGTAATTATTCCACAAAGCTGATCAGATTGAAAAAAACCCGAGTAACATTTCTCAAAAACGAAAAAGAACCATAATCAGGCCTTGATAAGAACAAATTGTGTCTTTACTTTCAAATAAACGATAATTATTTTTAATAAGGCACTGAGAAATCACTGAGTGTTTCAATAAAAAAAAAGCTCTTTGTGCCATTTATTTCA